TGTGAATCACTCGGCATGTAGCATCATATAGCATATAGATGTAGAATGAGGTTGATAACGATTTGTGGCACTCCGAAGTGTTGAAGCAACTGCCTAATTACTTGTTGGTCGACGCTGTCCAAGGCCTTCTCAAAGTTGATGAAGTTGAGGTAGAGAGTTGACTGTCATTCTATACTCTGTTCTATGATGATGTGTGACGTAGTGTTGAGTTGCAATTTGATCCTCAGATGGTTTGTTCTTCCTGAACTCAGCCAATCTGTTCGGGTGGTAGTTTTGAATCCATCGCATTCTATAGTCTATTCAAGATGATGCGGCAAAATATTGGGTGGACACGAGAATGATTCCTCGACAGTTCTTGACAAGTCTTTGGTCGCTCTTCTTTGGGAGTTTGACAAGGTAGCCTTCTTTCCAGTCCTCAGGTACCTTTCATTGCTTCCATCCACACCTTCTGCAATAGTGGTATGAGCATGTCCGCTGTTGTCCTTGAGTCCGCTCTCAGTGCTTCTGGCGGGATTCCATCTGGTCCAGCTGCTTTCCGGAACCTCAGCAGTTGCATGGCTTTCAGGACTTCGACTTCTGTTGGAGGATCAGTGTTCATTGATAGTTCTGCGGTGCTGGTGATGTTTTCGGAGGAGTTGCATGTCGTCGTGGTGGTCGATTCAAGAGTTTTTTGAAGTGGTCAACCCATCTTTTCCTTTGATACTCTTCTTTGGTAACTAGCTTTTTTTCACTATCTTTCATTGGTTTCGTCTGTGTGGATCTCTTCCCTCCTACCTTCAGCCTGTTCTGCTTCAGTTGCAAGTGTGTCGCAGAAGTGACTTTTGTCTTTGCGCGCACTCTTCTTCACTTAACTCTCCAGTGTTTTACACATCGTTCTCAGTTCCTCTTCTCATTGTGCATCATTGCACTGGTTCATCTTCTGCTTCACCATCACCATCTTCCTCTCCCTGCTCTATCAGCTTCCATGTGTCCATCGAGATCCATTCCTTGACTTGTTCCCTCTTCCTTCCTAATACGGTTATACAGGTTTGTTTACAGACAGCTTTCAAAGACTTCCAGTATTCATCCACACAGTTTTCTTCAAGGATGTTCCTCGATATCTACTTTTTCGTGATGACTGATTGACGTTAAGATTTCTTTTGTAGTTTCTTCTTTAGTTCAGTTTGTGTTCTTGGTGTTCAACTTGAACTGCGGTCGTCTATCACCAACTTCCTTGAAGGCTTCCATCTTGATTTTGAAGACAGGTTCCTTGCACAACATATTGAGTGGTGTGAACCTATATCTGCGTCTCTCTCTTCTTGATCTGATCTTGTGTCGATTGGGCTGGCTGCGTCTCCACTTTCTTCACATTGACATGAAGTCGATCTGATGTTTAGTGTATCCTGGTGTCTAGTGAAATCCATGTCTCTGCCTTGTGAATAGCCTTGTGATTGTACACACTGTCTGACTGCATTCACCAAATCGTTGAATGCACAAAATTCTGCAAACAATTCTCCATTCTGATTCATCATTTCGCCGAGTGCTTCTCGACCCATGGTTAGTTCTCTTCCTGTGTTATCCACTCCCAGTTCGGCATTCACATCGCTCCACCCATCAGAATTTTGATGTCGCCAACTGATGTGAGGTCTTGACCAGTTCTGATTGCAGTTATCCATAGAATTCCTCCTTCTTCTCTTCATCTGCATTATTTGTTGGTGCATAGCATTGAGTGATTGTGACCTTCCTTTCTTTGTTTGAGTTGAATCTTGTTGTCATGATCCTGATCGTGGAGGAGATTGGTTCCCACTGCCTGAGATCGAGACTTCGATGCTCTTCAAGGGGACATCCTGATAGCCACTCGATAATTCAGTATGCTTGTGGTTGTCGTCTGGGTGACAGTATCGGAATAGATTATTGACTCTGCAGTTGACAGTTTCGAGAGTCCACTTCCATTCCACCTGCTTTCGCAAGTTCATAATACTTCAATGCGATAACTTCTCATCTCTTTGGAAATCTAGGCAGTCTTGCCAGCCAGTTTCAAACACGGTGCGGACATTCCATGTCCGAGAGAGAGAGAGAGAGAGGGGAGAGAAGACACACCAGTCAATAGGCCTACCGAAGGCTTTCACTAACTGGCGTCATTTCGTCTCTCCGATTCCAGCTAGGAATAAGTTTGTTTTTATGTTTTTTATTTTGTCTGTTTTGAAGTTTCATTAGCGGTGGGATTGGTATTTCCATGGTAGGTTTGGTAGCTTTATGCTCAACCTTTCTTCTTAACCAAGTCTTAGAACCGGCTAGTAACTACTGAACTAGTTCATCAGGCGAGGTTCTGTTTCAGCATGAAATACTAGTATTGTCTGACACTCAATGCAGTTCATCAAAAAAACGGAAATTCGTGTGCAAATATTTTTACGCTAAACTGGTCAGTCATAATACAATGAAATAACCTGTGCTTATGTGCAGAAGAAATTCTGACAGACAGCTTTTTCGTCCGTCATTTTTTAGATAATCTTATTTGTTAACAAGAAAATATCCGTTGTAATTATATCGATTTTAGGTAGATGGTCGGTTACTGACTTATTTTTCCGCTCCAACACCTAATGTTATAAACGTACTGAAAAACCGACTTTTACTTATTACGTTAGTCAGAGTAATTCATGAATTTGTATTAAATAAAACTAGAAGCAAATTATAATAATCAGTTCACACGTAACGTAGTGACGACAATTTTGAAGGAAGTAAAATTATTATCACTTTTTAAGTGTACGTCTCCCCGCTATTTGTCTTATGTTTCATTGAAGTATCTAAGGCTTTTGCAGTAGTTGTAATGGAAGCTTAGATTTCCTTTTCATTTCGGCTGGTTGCCAAAGACTCATAGATATTGTTTTTATTAGACGTTGATGAAGCATTATCTACGTTTTAACATGAGAAGGCAGTACAAACTTTCCAACAAATGATGCAGTAATGAGATTAAGGAATGAAATATTTTTAAAACTAAGTACTATCCATAGTCACTGAAGAGAAATCAACTAATGTAATTTACCTCTGGGTTCAGTAATTCTTAAGGAATTCAGATGACCAGTGTTGATTTCAGTCTTAGTGCAAAACCAACATATAACCAAAACAGTACAGTTAATGAGTAATCGAGAAGACAAGAAGCATGACGTAAACGTGACTGGTAGGCGTCACAGAAATATGTATTCCTAACAAAGGTTGTAAAATAGAATCCCAGTCTATGATCTATGAAGACCGTCAAAATAAGAGCTGGAGCAATAAGCTTAAGTTATTACGCATGTGATATTAAGGCCCTTAGCTAATTTCAGTAATTTATATAACAGATAACTTACTACATCGATTCAAATTTGATATAGTTTAGGGCTTGGCTCATAAGTGTAAAAGAAGGATTTCTTAGCCTTGTAAAGTGTTTGAAAACAGGGTTACAGCAATAAAAGGTAGATTTAGATAAGAAAAAATAAATCAGTGAAGTATAATAATAGACAGTTCAATGAAGAAAGCTTTAATTATCAAATCATTTACACAAGCTTTATGTCTGTATTGATAAATATATCAATTATTGGATAAAATGTCAACGCAGGATCATCAGAAACGACCAAAAGAATTACGAGGTAATTTTGCGATAATCTAGCAGGCAAAAGAACACGTAATAGAAGTGGGAAAGTCATACTGAAATTAACACTTGCAGTATAAGAAAAAGAGGATAAAAATAATACCGGAAAATGATATATAAAATTTATATGAAGATTATGAACAGGGCAAAAGTGGCGATTAGAAGTGCGTATTTGAATGTGAAAATCAGGTTTTCATTGTTGAACTGACGAAATTTCGGCTGTTTAGATGGTCAGTACACACTCCCTTCAAAACATTTGATTTTATTTACTACTTTAAAAAGTGATGTTGGATCTGAAAATTCACTGACAATATTCCCATCCATCCACATCATCATCATCTTAAATGACTCATTCAAAAGTATAACAATGCGACAAAATGTTGATTACTGGAGACTGCACCTTATGTCTTACTGAGAGGATACGTCTTACAAAGAATATCGTGGAACGAAGGTCATAAATTCAAAAAATAGACAGACCTTGGTGGATGTACGCCGATATACGCAGAAAACATAAACCAATGAAGCTTAAAAAACTCTCAGAATGACAGGTTTATAATCACGTCTAGAAAATATCGTCTGTTACGTTTCCAGGTATCTTAATGTATCGTTTTACTTTTCCTAGTTGCAAGCACTCTTATAATGCCCTAAAATCTGTTTTTTTGACAACGTTAAATTAGCTTAATACAAAAATTCTTTTTTAAAGTATGATGAATCCGAAAAACTATCAAGTTCCAGCTTCACGTATATCTTGAACAGTTTAAATCAACGATTGAGGTCTGCTGTCTTCATTATCTGATTATAAAACTGAATACTGTCTTTCTAGAACTCCTTCATTTAATTTTTCAGCTCAAGTTTTTTTTCCTTTTTCCTTATACTATAATTGTGAATTGCACTATGAGTTCCTCACTTCTAATACCTGTTCTGTTACCTCTTAGATTACTACCGAATTATTCTGTAGTGCCTTTGAGGAATTTGATAAACTGCCGATGATCTGATAACGAGAAACATTTCATCTCTAACCTGTCTTTTACGAATTTTCTCATAGCTTAATGGAACTCTTTTAATGGATTTCGCTACTCCTAACAAGGCATAACATGTCTGTGATAAGTGCTGATAGCGAAATACATCTTCAGCTAAATGATCAGATGGTGACGTCTTATTTTGCGTTAACGAATTGATACTTCTGTGAAGGACTGCGATAAATGTCAATTAGGATTGATAATGTTTAATACTTTGACGTTATGTCATGTATTTACTTTTTTATTTACAATGGACTGACTACATTACGGTTTCAGCTCTTCTGATAACTGATCTATATCACACTAATTTTTAGTTACCCATCAGTTAGTTTTCTGACTCTCTATCTTTATCACTCTTTCTCATTTTCATCCAGATTCGGTCATACATTATAAGTAAACTTACTTGTTATTGACAACGAAGGATTCTAACAAATGGCATTTACGTTCCATTGTTCATGAATACGGAGAGCGAATCAGACGATTCGATGAAGACAAAGGGTTACTACTTGGCATTCAGAATTCCATTTATTATGAATCACTTCAAAAAACTAAATATGTGAGTTGCTTATATTTTTTCCTTGAGTTCTTTTGGTTTACAGTGTTAATTTATTAATCTATGTTTCTTGTTGTTTGGCAAAATTTATAATTATATAGTATATATATATATAATTATATAGTAAGTTAATGTGACAGTATTTGATAATCTTTAACATTCTCCTGAATAATATGTTGTTCTCCAGAATCACAATGTAGTTCAGTTTGCGAATGATTTGCAAACTGCGTGGTCTATTTTGAAATTTTTCACAGCTGAGTAATTTTTCATCTGTTTAAATGTGGTGTCAACAGGGTTTTTACTGGAACCCACTCAGTCGGAATCACTAGATGTGACCTATGACACAAAAGTTTCATGAAGTAGCTAAGTAAACTAGCACTGAACAACTTGAGCAGTAGTATCTTTCATTTGTTTTTTGTTGTTGCTGCTGCATCTAAATCCTTGTTTATAAAATCCTTACAGATATAACAGTTCATGATTATTCAAATTGTTTTTCTGTATGAATGAATAAACATCATCATAGAATTTCATAAAAAGCTAACTTATACATACCTAATTTACTAAACTTTCATGCCTGTTTAGATTCATCATTTATCGTAGGCAATACCTAACTCACTAATACTACACAATTCATAATTAAACAGTCAAATTGCAGACCTTAGGCTCATTATTTATTCATTCATTTATTCGAACAAACATTTATCAGAAGTTCATTGGTTTTTATTCGTTTGTGGAAATCATTCAAAGCAGTTTGTTCATAAAAGCATGCAGTTTCCTTATTACCAGTAACTAATATAAATCTTCATTCAAGGTGCTTTCAAATAGTTTCTTAAACTTAAAGTTATTGTTAGTTCAAGTGGTTAGCAAAAATATGAAGAAATTTTTAAGCAAATTTGGTGAAACAGGTTCATTTGTGAAGCAGAAGAATTAGGAATGTATTGTTGTGAAACTTTATTAGCTTGTAATCTATGGGCGTGAATGTCTAAAGAATGAAAAAGTGCTAAGTATCACTTCATAAATGCTCTAGCTAAAAACTAATTACATTTTACAAGAGAAGAATGCAATAATCTGGCAGGTGTTCTCGTGCTCTATACAAATGCACAAACACCAAGATTTTCCTACTATCTTATATTTGATTCGAAGTTACGTGCTTCTGTTGGCTGTAGTTTCTGTGTTGGTTACTTATAGCCCTTATTTTCAACTGAGTTTAGGGAAGTGTGGGTGAACAATCAGCAATCTATTAAGTACTACTAATCACTGAATATAAAGTTACTTACTAAGTGCGACTGCCTGGCCAAATTCTACGGCATTAAATGACCAGGATCCAAAAAGCGGCAACCCAGGTGATTCCATAAGTGATTTTTTTTCTGTACTTTGTAAAAAATTACTTCTTCCGAGAAACAGTGGTTTATAAAATCAGGAAACCTTAGCAGACAGTTTACTGTAGATGTCCATTTTTTGTTGATCATACGTTCAAGATTATTATCATAATTCATTCATACAAGTGAATGTTTCTACCTTCTGCCTCCCACTGACATCGAATTATGCCTTCTATAAACCACTCAGTGTTAAAAATAGGTGATAATCTTTGCGAATTACTGCAGAAAAATTATTGTGGATTGTGAAAAGCTTATAAGTATGATGACAACCCATGTAGTTTTAGCATTATCAAGGTTATCTATTGAACTAGTTATATACCTTATAATATATATATATATATATATATATATATATATATAGTTTGTAAATGTGTTAGTGACAGCTTGTTTGGAATAAAATGTCAACGTTTCGCACAGAAGTTTGACCCAAGCTTTTCCAGGGAAGCCATGTACTGGTTAGTGGTAAATCTTTCCCTATACTACCGCATTTTAAATTTTTTGTTCACAGTTGAAGTCCACGCCTTCAAAGTCTGAATCTTGGACCACCACCTATGTCTATGTCAGTACCCAAGTGTTTCATCGGTATATATCACTAGTCAGTGATCAAAAACGTAGTTAGTCCGCTCCAGAGTTTTGTTAAGTGGACATAACAGAAGTACTGCTACTAGGTAGATATCGTTCTGTTATTTAAAATTCATCTTACAGTTTTTCCCGAAAAAATACATAGTTTCATCGACTGCAAGTTTTCGGGTGATGTTTTCTAAGTGTGATCTGAAGACATCCGCCATTACTGGTCCTAATGAACTTGATTGCATGAAATCAGGAGACGCTTCATGTCTGTTCCTGGTAATTGGATATCTTGTATGTCATCAGAAATTATTTCGATTTTTTTCTAGGAGTGGTGTACTCATGAACATTAAATTTTGAATCTCAAGATCTGTGTAATAAATTTTGGAAAAATTATTCACCCTAGTCACATTTTGATGGAAGAAAGTCATAAATAAGTGGTGAACACAGACTAGCTTTTTATGAGTATTTGATGATTCTGAATGTTTACATTTATAAGGATGACTGAAGTCGAATAAGGATGGAATCAGTAAGAATGCTGCCATAGATAGAGAAAGCAGGATAAACAATTTAATACAGATACACTAATTGAGCTAGTCAAGTCAGAGTAAATCAGGAAATAAGAAGTGATGATTATGAAGAAAGGTATTTCTGACATGAGCATATGAGTGACTAAATGTTTTTACTATCTTGCTAACGCTAATTTACAAAGTTTATTCTGAATTCTAGTGACTTGATTTTATCTTTCACCATCTCAAATTGTTTAAATTGCAACTCTTTAACTGTTCCGTTAACTTCTCTTACTTTCTGACTAGTGTCTTTCTCGTAACCTTTCAGTTACATTGATGGAAACTTTAATGGTAGTAAATCACTACACAGGATACATCCATTGCAGGTCCAATGGCAACAAAATCGAAAAATGTAAAGTGCAGGCTTGAAAATATAAATAAAACGGGATTCCATAATTTTAAGAAGCTACACTCCCACAACTCTTATGAGATTCCCATTTACTTTATAGATGCACTAAAGTCAAACCGTAGGTTCATCCAGCTTTCAAAACACATCACATATTCCATAATGAAGCTGTGAGAGGATCTTGCTTCTCCCATGTAAGACCAAAAAGGCTACGTTTGATGATACGTTTAGGAGGCAAATACTGAATGAAATCGACAAACCTTGCTCTGCAGGAACAGGTGAATTGATAGATACAATTTGAGAAGTCCAATAATTGCAGCTTTCCCCTTAAGGATAGTCGAATAACTGATTGATTAGAGAAAAGAGTCGAAGTTTCACTGTGAAAATCTTTTATTTCAATAAACAGAATAAGCGACTTTTAAATATCTTCGCCGACAAGTTTCTGTTGAACTACAGGTTTAAGAAGAGGTACTTCTTAGGTTTCATAAATGCGTTTGATTTAGTGATCATGGTTTCCTACTTTCGATAAACAAACCATCAAGAGAGTTGTTTAGAACAGAGTCGTTTATATGGGTATTTAGCTTCTCATCAATGACCTCAGGACTCCAAATGCTACGTCTGACAAATGGAATGGATCGGAAGCCGTTTTGTGTTTAGAGGTTACCAGATTTTAATTTTCGTAAGTTGCTTGTTCCAAACTGACTTTTTATGGATCGATCTTCTGAATGTTCTTTTGCTGTTTTTATATTCTGCCGTGCAAGTTTATATTTTGGAATTCATTCTCCACTGTAATGTGAACTGGATTGCCAAACGAAACGTACTCAAAAGACTTAGAACATCTAAATTTTCGCTGCCTTTAGATATGATAAAAATATTGTTTATGTATCTTCCGTAAAACTGGAAAAAGCAGATCATTTTACTGAAGCATGTGTTTCATGCTTCAACACGAAGAAATTTACAAGAAGACGGTCTCTTAGTAGACATTAATCTACACCATATTTTCCTTTGTATATCTCGTTAACGTAAGAGTTTTGTACGCTGAAGATTTATATCACCACCAGTTCCTTTAGATACCTAGTAGATGTGTAGCAGACTAATTTGTTAGAATCAATATATTCACTAACTATATTAAACTTATTGTTCCAGCTAGTGGAACAGTTGCAAGCCATGTAGTATACGGGAAACCTTCGACTGTTTTCAAAAATATAAAGCAGGCTATCATAGTGTACTTTTTAAGTCACATCTCCTTGCATTCAAACAAACTAAATGTTTATTATTGTCCAAAATGTAGGACTAATGTAATACTTCATATTCTTGTGTAAAACATCTCGTTATTTGATTTTTCTGCCTACACAGCTTGTTATACCATGAACATTTGGGTGTGAGAGCACCTACTTGAAAAACAAACCTTATTTGTTTTTAGTTGCGATGTTCGTGACTCTTTGTTCATCAGATATATTCATATTAAAAAATAGTTTAAAACAGAATTGAACCATACACCTTAAAATGCCATCACTACATAACAAACTTGGGATCTAAAACAGTGGAAATTTTCACTATCAAAGATCATATTAATCATGTCATACACTGTAATCCTATAAGAAACAGTAAAACACTGGTTAGAAATTTAGACATACATCAAAGCAGAATAAAAGTATTGATTCTAACGTTTTTTTAAATTGAGCATAACATGATTATAAATGGATCGGATGGTTTGGAAAAACTTGGGCACCGAGTTAGTATGATTCATCTTACAAGATGTATTTTTACTTGTGTAATCTAAGCGTAGCGTTCAAGAACAAATAGAACAATAAATACATATTTTGTATTATTCCTCAACTTTTCAATCTTGCTAGGAAGTTCCCCTTCAAAAGTATGAATGTGACGTTAAGTTTGGACCTCGTAGCTGAGTTGGTAGGGCATTGGGCCGGAAACCTGAAGGTCACTGGTTAGAATCCGGTGGCGGCCCAAATTTTCACTTTACCTTTAATCCCAACCCAGTATAAATTATGTTTCCAGGTTAATATTCAAGTTCGGGAACCGAATGTGACCTGTATGATCATCTGATTACATTTTTATATGGAAAAAAGATCATTGGAATGCCGGTGAGTGAATTAGTTAGTTGATCAGAGAGGCCTGTTC